GATCATGACCTGAGCCGAAGGCAGACGCCTAACGACTGAGCCACCCAGGCATCCCAGCATAGACTTTTACATAGCCTCTGAATGTAGAATTTTATGTTCTAAATTAAGTATCATAAACTGGTCCAGGGACATGGTTTATTTGGTCTGCACAATGTTTTTTAAAAAGTGAAATTACACAGTCCTGTTTGCCTATAGGTATGTTAACAGAAAAGTAAGAACAGAAGTGGGAGTGTCAAAGGGAATTCCGCTTTACCCGTGATGTTTTATTTCCTTTGTAAAATGAAGCAAATACGATAATGTTAAAATCTAGTAATTCTGAGTAGTGAGGGCCCTTATACATCTCTGGAGTTTAAAATCTTATCAAAAAGTTAGTTGGAGGATGTTGTATGGAAATCATAGGTGCTTACTTTCCCAGTATCAAATAGACTTTAGAAGGAACACAGTCTAATTAAACTATTCACATAACTATTCCTATAAATAGCCCCTGAAGCCATTCAGGGAACACAGGGAATTCATATACTAGAATAATGTGGCCTTTTTTTTTTTTTAACCATATTGAAATGTAATCTACATAAAATATATTTTTCTCCTCCTCATTACTTTGCTTCCCTGTCCCCCAGGTTAACTACTACCTCTAGTTCCAACTACATGGATTAGTTTTGCCTATTTTGTGTGTCTATTGTGTCTGGCTTCTTTTGCTCAATAATTATGTTTATGAGATTTACCCATGTTTTTGCTGTATTGTGTTCTCTTTGTAAGGATATAACAAAAATAGTTTTATCCATTCTACTGTTGATGGATATTTTATTTATTTCCAGTTTTTGGGTATTATGAATAGTGCTGTTATGAATATCCTGAATATAATGAATAGTGCTGTTATGAATATCCATATCTTTTAGTAAACATATGTATGCATTTCTGTAGATATTTACCAAAGAGTGTAATTGTGGGTTCATAGGTTATACATACATTGTTCATCCTCAGTAGATCTGGTAAATGGTTTTCTAGAGTGACTGTATCAGTTTATATTCCCAGTAGCAGAATGTGAGCTGAGCATGCCTGTTGCCCCACATCCCTGCCAACACTTGACATATTTTTATTTTCCAATTTTAGCCATGCTGGTGGGTGTGTGGTGTATTGTAAATAAACACGCATGCACATGTAAGTTTTGGAATTTGAGGAAGTGTTTCCAGAAAAAATATCAAGTGGAGGTTGGAGAGATTGTATCTTTTGGGGGTTTATTTTTAGACAATTATTACAAGGTTGGTTCATATTGAGAGTTCTACCCCTTAGGTCAATTCTGCAAACATAGCTTCTGGGGCTTTCTTTATATAAAAGGGTATATTTATTTTTTGTGGTTATAAGAATAAAATATTCATTTAGTACTAATCGAGTACCTACTTTGTGTCATGCAGTGGGCCAAATATCATATAAAAATCATTTTGAAAATTTTGGAAAATAGAAAAAAGTATAAAAGAGAAAATAAAAATCAGTCCTAAACTCATTTATCCACTGACAACAATTTGATTTATTTACCTGTGATATGTACTTAATTTACATGTGTGTATAAAATTTTTCTTCCCTCCTCCTTGAGAATACAGTTTTGTACTTTTTTCCCCCACTTAACCTTACCCACTTAGCATTTTCTCACATCATTTAGAACTATTTGTATATCTTTTTAATGACTGGATATTACCCATCATATGACTATACCATAATTTATTTAAGTGTTCTCTCATTGAACATTTAGTTTTCAAATTTTAGCCATGTAAAAATATGATACATAACACAAATCTTTGCTAGCATTTTATCTATTTTTCTGTTGTAATCCTGTGTATTTAAAAAAAAATTTTAGGAGCTTCTGGGTGGCCCAGTCAGTTAAAGGGCTGCCTTTGGCTCAGGTCATGATCCCAGGGTCCTGGGATCGAGCCCCACGTCAGGTTCCCTGCTCGCTTCTCCCTCTCCCTCTGCCTGCTGCTCTGCCTACTTGTGCATTCTCTCTGTCAAATAAATAAATAAAATCTTCAAAAAAAATTTTTTTAAATGAAGTATAGTTGCCATTTGCTCACATTTTAGATTCTTTTTTTTTTTTGAAGATTTTATTTATTCATGAGAGACAGAGAGAGAGAGAAGGCAAAGGCAGAGGGAGAAGCGGGCTCCCTGCTCCACAGGGACTCGATCCCAGGACCCCAGGATCATGAGCTGAGCCGAAGGCAGATGCTTAACTGACTGAGCCACCCAGGCGCCCTTTAGATTATTTTCTTAGTCTGGTTTCCTAGACAGGGATTGACCATGTCAAATGATGTAATTACTTTTTAAGTTTAGTAAGTAAAGGAGAATGCCTGTGTCGATGGACCCTTACTAGCATTGCTATTATGATTATTTTAATATGCTAATTTAATATTTTAAAAAGGAACTCAGCAACTTCATTTTAATTTACATTTGATTTTTTCTAGTACTTCTAAGCCAAAAGATTCTTTAAAAGCTCCCAACTGTTGAATCACAGATCTGTACCTCTGAAACAAATAATGCAATATATGTTAAGGAAAAAAAAAAAGAAGATAGCAGGAGGGGAAGAATGAAGGGGGGGAAATCGGAGGGGGAGACGAACCGTGAGAGACAATGGACTCTGAAAAACAAACTGAGGGTTCTAGGGAGGATGGGTTAGCCTGGTGTTGGGTATTAAAGAGGGCACGTTCTGCATGGAGCACTGGGTGTTATACACAAACAATGAATGGTGGAACACTACATCAAAAGCTAATGATGTAATGTATGGTGATTAACATAACAATAAAAAACTAAAAAAAAATAATAAAAGAAAAAACAAATAAAAGCTCCCAACTTTTAATTTGTAATTTAACAACTGCTGTCCTGGTGGCTGGACTCTTACTTTGGGGGTGGGACTGTTACCATGGGAATTTGGGAAAAGAGGAGCGAGAAGGGAACTAGTGTCACTGAGTGATCACTGTATGGCAGGGCCTATACTAGGTCATACCAGCTCCTAACAGGTCATATCAAACATTCAGCCCAAAATCTGTCTCTAGCAACAGCACTGGAAACATTGTTTTGACCCTGATCTTTGGTATGTTAGGGACTGTGGTTTCATTTTTGCATAAAATATTTGAGATGTGCCTTAGAAAATCTTAAGACTTCTCGTGGTAGTCCTTTGTGGACCTGTCATCTTTGAATTTATCTAATCCTTCTTAAATTAACTTGTATTTTACACCTACCACACCTGTTAATTATAATAATAATTATGTATTCAGACTTTAAGTACTTTTCGTTTTGTTGCTGATTTATTAATTTTGATCTTTTCATTTTCATTTTCTTCCCCTTCCTTATAGATATTTGAAAATTAGTGTTATACCTAGTGAGATTTCCATCCTGGTCTATGCTCTGTCCATTCTTCCATCTCCTCACCTAGATGAAGTGGGGATATCTCGAATTGAAGCCATTTTACCGCAGTGTGACCTAAATGACCTGAATGGTTTTGCTACATCTGTTTTAAGATGGATTCATTATGATCACAAATATCTGGATAATACCACTGGGAAACAACTGAAACTGCTTCAAAAACTAGATCACTATGGTCTTCAGAGACTACGAAAATACAACAATTTGAATCTTTTAAGGGAAGAACTTAAATCTTTAAAAGGAGACTGGTTTGCTGAGTCACTTCTTGAAGAAACAGCTGGTACTTTACACCGTTTGATGGATGAAATTAATTACAAAAATGTTGCAGAGATTGCATCTTTTATTGCTAGAACTAACTACCTCAGTACTTTGCTACTTGATAGGATAGCCTCAGTGGTTGTTCAGCAGATTGAAAAGGTGAAATTGAGTTTTAAATAGTTGTCAACTTCTAAAAGCATAAATATTTATCATAAGTACTTTGAGAACTTAATTGGAATTGGAATTTTATTATTTTTTATTTTTTAAAAGATTTTGTTTATTTGGAGGGAGAGCGCGCATGCGAACTTGAGCAGGGGTGGGTGGGGGAAGGGCAGAGGGAGAGGGACCAGCAGACTCTCAGCTGAGCAGGGAGCCCAACACTGGGCTGGATTCCAGGACCCTGAGATCATGACCTTAGCTGAGGGCAGATGCTTAACTGACTGAGCCACCCAGGCACCCCTGGAATTTGAATTTTAAAAATTCAATTCTAGCGTCTGGTTCAGCAATTTGTTTCTCTAAAGTTGTTTCCTCCAGCAGTGTAGATCTGGGGAGTATAGCAGTCATCTTTTGGTTCACTATGATATTTTTAAGATCTGTAGTCAAAATTTATTGTCTAGAAAGAAATACTTAAAACAATACTGTTTTAAGAAAATGAAGTATGAATGATTTTTGTTTTATTTTCTATAATCCTATGGTACTACTTTTATCTTTAAGAACAACTACATTCAAAAGTGTGAAAAATGAGGAAAACATAAGGTGTACACTGACTTCTATATTCTTAAATTGTCAGTGTGTCTTCTTACAAATTTATTTCTGGCTTACTCCTAAAATGTTGCTTTTTGGATTATGTGAGAAGAAATTCACTTATTAAATCTATATCGGGATAAGGCTTTTACTTAGGAGACAGTATTTCTCCCAAAATAAAATAAAAATCTGTCCTACTTGTTTAGCATAGTACTTGGCAGTCATTAAGTTTTAGATGAATGAGTGAATAATGAAATTTTAAAAATGAATGAAGGAAAAATGAATGAAAGAAAAATGATTATGAACTAACTTCCTTAATTACATTATATGATGAGTCTATAAAATGCACTGAGATCATGGAAATTAGTAATACTATTTCCTATTCATTTTAATGATTAATGAATTCTGGAACAGGATTTTACACCTAACAAAAATAATTTGCAGATTATCTGATTTTTTTCTGCATTGATACTTAGAGTTACTAGAAACTAGTGGTGGGACTAAATAGATTATAGCAGGGTAGAAAAAGTAATAAGTAGTGATGCATTTATCATTTTACTTCTAGACATGTTAGAAAAAGATTTCTACCGAAAATAATAATTAGGTTAAATTTTTGTTTTATTTTACTGAAGTTTAAACTATAACATTTTGTTGTGTTTATACAGATCCACCCTTTTGTGATCCTTGGTATTATTCTTCCATTTAGCGTCTTGAACTATGATCCACCTCAAAATGATGAATTTTTCAGGATTTGCATTCAATACCTGAATTCTTACTTAAGTAGGTATATTGTTCGGTAATACATTGAGTAAGTAGGTTGGAGAATACCATTGCCACTGTGGTAAGAGAGAGCTCTCATTTAAGGGGTAACTATAAGAGCCATGAGTTCTAGACCTAAAAAAAAGTTGTACCCAGGGCGCCTGGGTGGCTCAGTTGGTTAAGCGACTGCCTTCGGCTCAGGTCATGATCCTGGAGTCCCGGGATCGAGTCCCGCATCGGGCTCCCTGCTCAGCAGGGAGTCTGCTTCTCCCTCTGACCTTCCTCCTTCTCATGCTCTCTGTCTCTCATTCTCTCTCTCTCAAATAAATAAATAAAATCTTTAAAAAAAAAAAAAGTCTAAACGATTAAGAAGCAGAAAGATATTTGTATAAAAAAAAAAAGTTGTACCCATTTTTGAAACATTTTTATTATGAAAAATATCAAGCTTAAGGAAAAAATGGAAAGAATCAAAGAGTGCCTGTATACTCACAGGGCAGACTTAGTAATTGTTAACATTTTATCCTATTTGCTTTACTGTTTCTCTTGCTCTCTTATTTTTTTCGGAACCATTTCACAGTAAGTTGTAGGCATCATGACCCTTCACCCCTAATTGCTTAGGCGTATGCCTCCTAAGAATAATGACCTCTTATATCACCACAATACTATTATGACACCTGAGAAAATTAATAGTCCCTAATATCTAATACACAGTCCATGTTTAAATCTCCCTCATTCGTCTCAAAAATGGTTATTTTGGACCCAGCATCCACTCACTGCATTAGGTTGATACCTCTTTGGTCTTTTATAGTCTAAATACTGGTTGTTGTTTTTTTTCCTTACCCCTGCCATTGACTGACACCATGATATGATAACCATGTCTGATACTACTTTGTGAATAGACAAGTAAAATGGGCTGCTGTGATATGTTTATATTTAGTCATGAATGGGCGTATGCATGTGTGGCATTCATGTATACCTCTTTTTAGTAACATAATTATGTAGAAAGAGGAGATTTGAAACTGAGACTTAGTATGCTCTCCTGGTTGTTCAGTCTTGTGCCAACAACCAGAAGGAAGTGAAAGCACATCTTTTTTTAAAAAATAAATAAAGAGTTTAAGAGAAGAAAGGTTGAGAAATACAGCTTTGATTTTTTTTTTTTTAAGCCTTACCAAGAGAATGTTTGGAAAATTCTTGGATACCTCTATAAGTAAAATTTTAAGTAATGGCATAATAATTTTATTTTGAATAAATACTAGATTTGACAGGTCACTATTAACCTCATTTATGATTTGATCTTGATTTATTAAATAAACTCAGCAAACAATCCAAAAGGAAAGATTTAACATCTTTTTTGTCCTTTCTAAGAGTATTGCTGCCAGTAGGGACCCCTTCCTTCTCATCAGAAATGTCTCTTGGACGAGGCAAATCAGCTAAATAACCTCAATCTTGTACTCTGGGACATGTGCCATGCTGTTGGGTGACAGGTAAGGGAGGAGGTGCTATTTGAAACTTGAGCTTCATATGTGTCTACACTCAGCCCGGATATTTGAGATCCCTAACAGCAGCACAGAATAGTAGTCCAGGCTCTGGAGCTGGGCTCTCAGGGTTAAACCTCACTGCCACTTGCTAACTGTGTGACTGTAGGCAAGTCGTTTAACTTCTCTGTGCCCCTGTACACTTATTTACAAAGCGGAGATAATAATTATTCCTGCTGTATACTGAAATGAGATTTCAATGAGTTAATATATGTAAAGAGCTTAGAATGATACCGAACACATTCTGAGCACTATTATATTGTTATCATCAATACATAGAGACTCAGACCACTTATTACATACACTACTGACCTTTTGTTTTGAGTTCTTTCTCTTTACAAAGCAATTTTTGAAACTTCTTATGAAGTAAAATAATAATATAGGAATATTTACATATCCTTAGCACATAGTATGAATTTATATAAATTGAATTACCCAAGGAGTCAATACCCAGGTGAAGAAACAGTATTACCACAGTGTCCTTCTCTCCTGTCCCCCTTTCCTACTCTACTCCCACCCAAAGGTAAGCACTTCACTACTATCCTGACTTGTAACAGTATAGATTAGCTTTGTCAAGGCTGTGTTTGTATCATTATTTTAAAACCCAGCTTGACCTGAATAAAGTGTGTGCATGTATATGTGAGGTGGCTGTACATTATAATTTTTTTATCTTAATTTTGTTTTAGGTGGATTGGATCCTTTCATGTTAGTGTTTCTTGGTTATTCTTTGGCCATACTTGGATATTTTCCGGAAGATCTGCTGAAGGCAATTTTTAACATCAAATTCTTAGCCAAAATGGATTCTCAACTTGAATGTGTGTATCTACATTTTTTAATTTTAATTTTAATTTTTTTAATGATTTTATTTATTCATTTGAGAGAGAGAGGAAGCACAAGCAGAGGGAGGGGCAGAGGGAGAGAGAGAGAGGGAGCAGCAGGCTCCCCACTGAGAAGGGAGCCTGATGTGGGGTTCAATCCCAGGACCCTGGGATCATGACCTGAGCTGAAGGCTGATGCTTAACCTACTGAGCCACCCAGGTGGCCCTGTATCTACATTTTAATTTATTAAACTCTTACCTATACTTTATATCCAAGTTTCAACTCTACCTATACTAAAGCATTTAAATGTTAACATATTTTTTTTCTGTTTATGAAAGTATTTCCTTCTTACGGAAAATTTGGAAAACAGGAAAGTATAAAATAGAAGATAAAAGATTACTCATAATCTTACTACCAAGTGAAACTACCACTTTTAATAATATTTTGGAGTGTATCTTTCTTTTCTGTCTCTCTTCTGCTCTTATGTGTATGTTTATATATCTATATGTATTTTATTTTATTTTATTATTATTTTTTTTAAAAGATTTTATTTATTTATTTATTTGAGAGAGAGGATGAGAGGAGAGAGAGAGCACATGAGAGTGGGGAGGGTCAGAGGGAGAAGCAGACTCCCTGCTGAGCAGGGAGTCTGATAGGGGACTCGATCCTGGGACTCCAGGATCATGACCTGAGCTGAAGGCAGTTGCTCAACCAACTGAGCCACCCAGGCGCCCCTCTATATGTATTTTAAAACAAAATTTGGATTATTAGTATATTCACTTTTGTATGTTGCCTTTTGTCACTGAACTGTATTTTGAACAGTTTTGCATGCCATTAAATATTTTTTGGTATCATGATTGTTTTAGTGTTTATGTAATCGGCTATGATAGGAATGTAATAACATTTGTTATCATGTAGGTTGTTTCCAATTCTTCATTATAAATAATGATTATTATACATGAATCATTGACCTCATCTTTGTTTCTTTAGGATAGATACCTAAATGTGGAATATTAGGTCAATGAAAATTCTTTGGTGGTATTTTAAAAAATGTAGTTGTAATATTCATGATTAGTGGTAACGACATAGGAGTTAGTCATAATCTTGCCACTGAATAATTTAAAAATATAAAGCATGTGTGTGCAAATGAAACAATTTTATAAGGTGAGAATAAAAGTACTAACAAATAATGGGGATAAATGAATGTGAAAAAAATGGATTGTCTTTGTTAGGTCCAACCTGTCAAAATCAATTAATATTTTGTTTTTGATTTCAGTTTTATGTTCATCTCTAAATATGAAGGTCCAGTTTCGTCTTATGGAATTAAATAGAGCAGTCTGCTTGGAGTGCCCTGAGTATCAGATTCCGTGGTTTCATGACCGCTTCTGTCAACAACAGTATAATAAAGGTTTGCCTTGTCTTTGGGTCAGACAGCAAAATTTAATTCCCAAGTGAATTATTAGTTAGCACCTTGTTAAGCCCAACCTTGACACCAGAGTTACCGAGAGTGCCATGACCTGTTTGATAGAACCATTTTATAGGTGAGATTTGTGTTATAAGAATTTCTTAATATTTAGGACACTAAACCTCTCTGGTAGAGAGCACAGAACTTGTATCGTTCTGAATTTAATACCATTGCATGTGCTATTATATCGAAGCTCTTGTTGAAAATATTAATCTTGATTTTTCGGTTTGTAGAATTGGGTTGATTTTCATTTGAAACTGATGAACTTATTTTAAGTGACCTAATTATTTTTATTTTCATAAAGATATTGGCAGCATGAATGGAGCGCAACAGCAGATTTATAAAATGTTAGCAGAGGTGCTGGGAGGAACCAATTGTGTAAAAGCCTCGGTTCTTACGCCTTATTACCACAGAATAGGTGAGTCTGTGGTAGGTTATTAGGTACTCTCAGAAGACTGAACTAATTAAAGTAGAATCATCTCATCAAATGGAAATTTCCAAACAGACCGAAATAGAAGAGTGCAATGATTCCTCAAGTTCCCATGGGCCAGCTTTGATAACCATCAGCATTTTGTTTTTTTTGTTTTAATTTTTTACCAATCTTTCACCAATTCTAAGTAAAACCGATTCAGATTCACTGAACATTTCTAAATCTTCAAAAGTTTTTTTCCTCTCCACTAAGTACCCTAAAGTCAGGGAAATGACTTAGGATCTTTTCATTGTTTTATGTCAAAAACAAAGTTGGATTATCCACCTGGATGAAGATTTCCATAGGTTTGTGCTCAACTCTAAATAAACTCATTAACCTTCTCAGTCGTCTAGTTGTAGAAGGCATTCTGATTTGGTAGTGGGTGACATAAAATTAGTAGGCTAGCTGATAAATTGGATGGCAACATAAGATTTAAAAAAAAATAGCTAAATTCAAGTGGTGGACTTAAAGGAAAAGATGAAATTTTAAGAGAACATAAACTTTCTAAATTTAGGTTTAGAAAACATCTGCATACATACAGGATGTTATATAGGATTATAAGCCTGATATTAACTAATACTGTAAATGGTTGCCAAAAATCAAATACTATTTTAACCTATGTTATTAATAATAATAAGAAAGCTGGTAGTACCACTGTATTCTGTCCTTCAGACATTTCTTAGTATTCTTTTTTTTGAGTGTTGCATTTTGTGAGAGACAGTGACAAATGGGGCCTGGAAACAAAGGAGTCTAGAAATCCTGTCTTAGAACTACAGAGGACGGGAACTGCACAGATTTCAATCCTTCAGCAAGTTCCTCAACCTCTGAATATTATTAGTTTCTTCATCTGTAAATGGGGATAATAATACCCGCTTAACAGGGCTAACTGATATATTGTATGAAAAACATTTAGCACTGCCCTTGGAACATAGTGAGGGCTTAATAAATTTTATTAAAAAAAAAAAAGCTAGGAATGTTTAATTTGAAAACTGGAAAAGTTGTGGTGAGCATAACTTACAATGTTTGAAGGATTATTATGTGAAAGAAGAATTAGATACCTATTTCAGGATAAAAGTATGGTAAAAAGTAAAGGAATCATTTTAAGTCAATAAAAGGAGAATTTTATGAGAGATTTGTCAAAAAATGAAATAATGGGCTGCCTTGTGAAGAAGAAATGTTTAGGCAGAAGCTGGATGATCAGATTGTGTGTTCAGAAGACTGAACCAAATTAGTCATTTATACCCCCATCTTGCACTACAAAACACATTTTCTCAGTTGTTTGGTTTTACGTTAGGATTTCATTTGTCTATGAGTGACAGAAATCCACAAATAACAGGAACTTAATAAAGTTTATTTCCTTCTCCCATATGCATAGGGTGTCCAGGGCTGGGATGCCAGTTCCACAAGCCTTAAAGATCAAGATCCTTCTATTTTATTTTTTAAATATTTTATTTATTTATTTGTCAGAGAGAGAGAGAGAGTGTACAAGCAGGGGGAGGGGCAGGCAGAGGGAGAAGCAGGCTCCCTGCTGAGCAAGGACCCTGATTCAGGACTCGATCCCAGGACTCCAGGATCATGACCTGAGCCGAAGGCAGATGCTTAACTGGCTAAGCTACCCAGGCGTCCCAAGATCCTTCTATTTTATTATAAACTACAACCTCAACATGTAGGTAGCTTCCACTTTATGGTCCAAAATGGCTCCTTCTGCTTTAGCCAACACATCTACAATCTAAGCAGAAGGTGGAGGGAAGGAAATGGAAGGGTGTCCTTTTAAGCACAGTTCCTTGAAGTTGCACATACCATTTTTAATTATACCATATGGCCATACTTGGCTATGAGTGAGTTTAGGAAATGTTTTCATTCTGGGTGGCCATGTACCCAGCTAAGAATTAGGAATTCTATTATTAAAAATGAAGGGAAGTATTAGATATTGGGGGACAACTTGAACTCTCTGCAAGAGGGTCGTTTTAAAATGTTGATATAGATCTTCCTTGACTTACCATGGGATTATATCTCAATAAACCCATTGTAAGTTGAAAATATTGAAGTCAAAATGCATTTAGGGGCACCTAGGTGGCTCAGTCAGTTAAGTGTCCAACTCTTGATTTTGGCTCAGGTCATGATCTCAGTGTTGTGAGATCAAGCCCCTCCTGTGGGTCTGTGCTGGGTGTGGAGCCTGCTTGAGATTCTCTCTCACTCCCTCCCTCTGCCCCCCTCTATCCCCCACTTGCACCCTGCTCTTGCACACTCTCTCTAAAAAAAGAAAAAAATGCATTTAATACACCCCTAACATGCTGAACTTCATAGCTTGGCCTAGCCTACCTTAAATGTGCCCAGAACACTTACATTAGCCTACAGTTGAGCAAAATCATCTACAACAAAGCTTGTTTTACAATAAGGTGTTGAATCATCTCATGTAATTTATTGAAAACTGTACTGAAAGTGAAAAGCAATCGTTCTAAGTTTTTTATCCTCACTACTGCTGCCCAGCATCAAAAGAGATCCAAATTCAAAATCTGAAGTATGGTTTCTATTGAATGCATATCACTTTGGTACCATTGTAAAGTTGAAAAATCATAGGTTGGGGACCATCCATATACTGTTAATCTGTACTATTTAAAATATATCTGTATTTTAAAATATACTCCTGTAAAAATAATGCTCACAGAAGGAAACGCACTGAAATATGAATATGAAAATGGTCTGTAATTCCATCTCATAATTTAAAATTGAGCACCAACTTTGTGACAGGCACTGTGGCTGGCTCTTTATTTCTGTTATTTCATTTTATTCTTTTTGTTTTGTTTTTGTTAATGTTTCTTTCAAACTATAAATAGTCCTATCTGTGTAAAACATTTGGAAAATACAGAAAAAAAAATCACGCATAACAAATCATGCATAACGTGTAATTAGTACTGAAACTAAGATTACTCTGTCCCAAGACCATTGTATTTCCAATTCATATTTGTACCTCCTGTTGTCAAGAGGCTTATTTTTATGTGAAATGTATATAAATCATTAAAAAAATATTTAATTGGTAATATTTATGTACATGGATTAGCATAATTAAGACAGTATAATAGTATAATTAATAACTATGGGCTAGGGCCGCCTGGGTGGCTCAGTCGTTAAGCGTCTGCCTTCGGCTCAGGTCATGATCCCAGGGTCCTGGGATCAAGCCCCTCACTGGGCTTCCTGCTCGTTGGGAGGCCTGCTTCTCTGTCTCCCACTCCCCCTGCTTGTGTTCCCTCTCTTGCTGTGTCCCTTTCTCTCTCTGTCAAATAAATAAATAAAATCTTTAAAAATAAATAAATAAATAAATAACTATGGGCTAGAAGCATTGCTTAAGGTTTTAAAAAAAATTCAGTTAAAAAAAATCACAGGATACCTACTTATAGAAAAACCAGAAAGGACAGATAACAAAAGAGAAATTATCATGATATGACCATTGTTTACTTTTGCTGTCTGTTTTTGTAACTGACTTGTTTGAAACCAAAAATAACTTATACTATAATGTTTGTAGCTATGTTTATATATTGCAAATATTTTTCTGTGCCCAGAAATATACATTATTTTTAGTGACTGCATACGTATTTCATTGAATTGAGTAAATGATGGTTTATTTAATCCTTAGGGCTTTTTGTAGGTACATGCATCTGTCAAACAGTGCTGCAATTTTCATATAACAACAGCAATAGAAAATGATATACCTACATACTGTTTATTATGTGTTAGACATTGTTTTAAGTGTTTTATATATACTAAACTTATTATGCCCCTATCAGGTACATAAATTATTCTATTTCATAGATAAGGAAATTGAAGCTGAGACATTATTGTTTGCCCAAGGTTATATAGTTGACAAATGGTGGAGCCAGTATTTGACCTAGGCATTCTAGCTCCAGAATTCATTCTCTCAATGAGAGAACTATATTTCACGTTTGATAATTAGCTCGAAGCTGCTTCAGTGCCCCAGTTTCCCTTATGTATAAAAAGCAGATAATTAAACCTACTCTTCCCTTTTCATTTGTTGTTTCTTTTTTCATTTGTCCTTTTTGTCTTGGTTTAAATACTTTTACAGTTGTTTTTATTACAGAAAAATTTCAAACATATACAAAAAATAGAATAGTATGATGAACTCCCATACAGCATCACCAGTTGTCAACTCACCAGAGTCCCACCTGATCCTTTTCAAGCAAATCACACATATCTTAAAATGTTTATCTAAAAAGATACATAACTACAGTACCATTGTTATCACCCCACCGCCATTCATAAAAATTTCTTAATATCACATAGCTTGTCAATGTTCGAATGTCCCAATTGTCTTCTATATGTTTTATTTTAGTTTATTTGTTAAAATTGGGGTCCAGACATTACATTTGGTTGATAGGCCTTTTTAAGTTCTACCTCTTTCTTTTCCCCTTACAATTTATTTATTGAAAAAAAATTTTTTTTTCACATTCTAGACTTTTCAGTTATACCTCTGTTGTATCTCTCTCTTTTTTTTTTTTTTTTTTAACCTCTGTTGTATCTCTTAACCTGCTCCTGCATCCCTTGTTTTCCTGTAAGTCACTCCTTAGATCTAGAGGCTTGATTAGATTCAGGTTAAATTCAGGTTGGGTTTTTTTGTTTGTTTGTTTTGCCCAGACTATTTCATAGTCGTATGTACTTCTTATTGTATCATATCAGAAGACATATAGTGCTGGTTGTCTTATTTTTGTTATATTAAAGATTTACCAGCTCACCATTAGAAAGTTCTATCAGTTTTTCACCTACAGATTTTATCAGTCATTAAAATTATTGTCTAAATCCATTATTCATTAGGGGTGGTAAAGTAGTGATTTTTTTTTTTAAAGATTTT